GAATTATTAATTTAAAGTTTAATGGAGTCGAAATATTGCCATAGTTCTAAGTCTGCCTTACGCACCTATAACATGAGCATAAAATGTTAAGTTGTCTGCGCACAGCTCTCTTGCGCTGTTATTGTTCTCGCGCTCTCACGGGCTAACATAGCGCCCACGCCAAATTTGAAGTTAGGTTTAAGCTAGATTTAATTACATTGTAATAAAACACTTGTTAAATTGAAGAACTACCGTGCAGTTGTTCCTTTCGTTCGACACATTCGAATAAGTTCAGTTGTTTCATTTGCGAACAATCCAAGTGAAGTTTAGCAAATCATAGCAGCCAGTCTGCCAACAAATCTCCACTGGATCGATTCGCTTTTGCCCACCGGCAATTTCCCTTGTTCCTGTTGAACAATTGTTGTGTTCTAGAGGAACACAAAATATGCCATAAATTTCATTCATAACATATTTTTTTCATTACGAAAAAAAGAACAGGCAAACTTCTTGGAATTACGGATGAACAAATGGTAATGGCTAACACCAAAAGAATATGTTAGAATTTGTATACTTATGGGGGAACAAATTTTATACTATTATTAATGAACGGTATTTTCGAACCAGAATGAAACTATTTGTGTATTTTTATACTTTGTACATATATACATATGTATACATATATATGTCTGTCTGTCCGTCCAGATCTCAGAGTCTATAAGAGCTAGAGACACCAAAATTTGCGAAAAGATGCCTTATGTGTGTTTTAGAGTTTATAATTTATATTTATAATTTTTATAATTATTCTAAACATACATATGTACCGAGTATTTCTAAGTCGGGACACCCGACTTTAGCTTCTACAAATATTAAACAATTGGAAAAACTAAAGTCGGGTGCACCGACTTTAAAATAGTCACATAGGTATATATTATGTGTAGAATACTATGATATGAATATAAATTTAAAAGCAAGAAAGGAATGCTACATTCGTGCGGGTTCAAATCTTAGATACCCTAATACTCATCAAGCTATTGGGTCGTTTGTTAAATAATTTCGTTTGATAACAACAGCTGATATTATTGAATTTTTTCGCAGCCAACTTTGCTCTTAACCGCTTTACCATTATATATTTGAACAGCTGATATATTTTTTCTTTTTTATAGAAATTTTGTTAAACTTTTTGGATGTTAGTTTTTATTTGGTGCTCTACCGAAGATGGAAGATCGAAATGCCAAAATTGGTTTGCAAAATTTCGTTCCGGCTATTTCAATCTTGAGGATGCACCACGTCCTGGAAGGCCTCTTGAAGCCGATGCGGATAAAATAAAGTCATTGGTCGATGCAAGTCGATCCAGTCGAATAACAACTCGAGAAATTGCTAAAAGATTAAATTGTCTAGAACTAATTTGTGCTTACATAAGCGCATTGTTACTGGCGATGAAAAGTGGATTGTACAAGGTGCGTCCCAAAGGAAACAGGATTTTTTGAATCTAGCGCCCCCTGGTGGCGCTATCTATATGTCGACTGGTGCGTTACAACCTGCTATCTTTATCGATTGTTCAGTGAGAATTTCATGACATTTCACTGATTGGAAGTGAAGTTATTGCGTTTTAAGTGTCAGTATGTTTATGTTATCGGTGCGAAAATGAGCTTCGAACAACATTAAGTTTTGTTTTAAAATTGGTAAAACTTTTACCGAAACGTTTCAATTGATGGAAAAAGTTTATGGCGATGATTGCCTATCCCGTAGCAGAGTGCACGAGTGGTTTCAACGTTTTCAAAGTAGTCGTAAGGACATAAATGACAATCAACATGTGGGCCAATCAAAATTCGTGATCACCGAAAATTCCATCGAAACTGTGCGTGAATTCAGCAAAAATCAGCCGAAATCATCATTAAAATTCGAAAGGTGTGTACACGGTTTGTTCCGCACAAATTAACTGACGACCAAAAACCATCAGACAATAGACGCTTGTGACCGATTATTTGACCAAAAATCACATTTTAACCATTAACCGTATTCACCTGATATGGCACCGTGCGACTTCTACCTTTTCGGAAAAATGCATTTGCCAATGAAAAGAAAACGTTATGCAGACGTAGAAGCCATTCAAAAAGCTTGCACCGGCATACTGGCGGCCATACCGGCCAACAAGGTAAAACGCTCGTTGGACATGCTTTTGGATCGTGCAAAAAGCTGTATTGAAGCAGAAGGAGACTATTTTGAATAAAATAAATTGATTTTGCCGAAAAAACCATTTGTTCTGTTTTTTTTTAAAGTCCTGTTTACTTTGGAACACACCTTGTAGAGGCGACAGAAAAACCGGTAAACTGTTACCGAAATCAGATAGTTATTGAGGAAAAGTTAAAGAAAAAGTTAGGCACATTGTCCGGTGGTCCTCTGACCGAAACACTCTCTTGCAAACTTTGCAGGACGTAGTAAGGTCGGACGTAGTTAACGCCATACATTGCGATTTGCCTATTTTGGCCTTTATTCAGCACAAGTTGGTGGAAGCTTTCCCCTCAACTGTGTTCAGATATTCCAAGAGTACAGAACAGCACAGAGCAGAGGGAAATAGCCACGATAGAGCACAATCAGTGACGGGGACGTGACTATCTTGGATGCGTATGGGTACCTGGGACATACAACTTACGCTGACGAAACGAGAAAGGCTTTGGACCTATTTACAAAAGATCATATGAGTAATTTACTCAACACGGACCTCGGACACATGGAAACACTAACAGGCACACTTAGAGTTCATCACAGATACGCACGCAGCATAAATCTGCTGGGAACCGCGCTAAAAGTAGTTTCCTGTACACCTGACTTTGACGAATGGGAACAGATTAAGTTTAGGCAGGGACAGTTAATAGAAGCCGAAAACAGGCATATTGAAATAAACACTAAATTCCAGACACGACTTAATGAAATTACAAAGACGTTGAACGAAGATTCAGACTATGAGCATTTACTCCAAACCATTCTTGCAAGGAACAGAATAATTATCAGTAGTCTTGAAGATCTTATTTTTTTCATAACCTTAGCAAAAATCAATTTAATAAGCCATCTCATTCTGGACAGCGTCGATGTTAAAGAATTGGCGAATGGGCACGTCACAAATATTAGCATATCAGACATCCTATCAGTATCTAGTATTAAGGCTCTCTAAAATACCAATATGTTACACTTCTTAATTAAGTATCCAAAACCAAAATTAGTCTGTAAGAAAATGAATGTTTTTCCAGTTCAAAAGAACAAACTAATTTTAGATTTAGAAGACAGTAGCACGGTACTGGTGTCTGGGATCGTCGCACACTGTGCTACTCTCCCTGGACACTTGGAGCCGGTAGCTCTGATGGACGAAGGCCTCCTTCTGATCAACGATGCGACCTTTAAGGTCGAAGATAATGGCATCAGTCAGCTGGTTTCGGGAACATACCTGGGAACATACGGACGCCGTTGTAACACAGCGGCCGGCGCAACCTGACACCCGCATGCCGAGTGACCACTGCAAGAACGGTCACGAGGCGCCGAGTCAGCGTTCTGTTGCCTGCGCTGCCGCGGGCCATGGGCTATGCTCCATCGCTGCCACGGGCCATAGGCTATATGGCCTGTCGTGAATATTTAATTAAGTCAGTTATAATAATTAATAAAGACTTAATTGAAAACTACTCAACCGGGATTTGATTACTTATGTATACAAGTTTTGTGCGAATGTGAGCAACACACAAAAGACCCCCAAAGTATATTCTTAATCTTTCTGTCCGCCTAAATGATCGCAATGATCTCAGAAAGTATAAATGCTACAATAACAAAACTTGGGAACCAGATTCTTCTAAGACCGACAATATACGAGTTTGTGTTTCTGTGCTGCACGCTTCACATAAACGTATTGTCATATACATATACATATGTAGACACACAAGGGCGTAGGCAGCTTTTACCAAAGGGAGGGCCAAAAAATTGTAATTTAAATTAAATAATGCACGATGCATTTAAAAAACAAGAAAGGAATGCTAAAGTCGAGCAGGCTCAACTCTTAAATACCCTGTACCACCCCACAAAAAAGTAATTTAATTAATTAAATTTAATTAATTAACTAAATATTAACTAATTAAATATAAAATATTCCATGCATGCATACATACATTTACATCAGAATCGTGCCTTATGCGTGTTTGTGTACTTGTACATATGTATGTATGTGTGCATTGGGCCTGGTTATATGGCTATAACTTTCTTTCCGATCATTCTATCATAATGAAACTTGGTATACGGATATATAATTACTAACCTAATGTGACTACCAAATTTTAGTTCCAAGAATTCCAAGAATTACGGGAGTTATAGAAAATTGGTAATAGGGGGGGGAGTGGGGGGGTGGGTCAGAAAAAATGAACAAACTCGTCCTTTCTCGGTCTCAGGAGAATCTGTATACCAAGTTTGGTTATTCTAGCTCTTATACTTTCGGAGATCCTTGCGTTCATACAGACAGACAGACGGACAGACGGACATGGCTATATCGATTCGGCTTGTCATGCTGATCAAGAATATATATACTTTGTGGGGTCTACCAAGCCTCCTTCTGTGTGTTCCATGTGCACTCGCACAAAACTAATATACCCTTGTACCCTTTGGGTACAGGGTATAATAACTTATGCATATGATCAATGAAAAAACTTCAACAAATCCAACTCAGATCTATTTTAAGGCGAAATAGTGCGTCATAATAATGAACGTGTTGTCGACTTTAAATGGCAAACATTTCAGTAGTGGGGGAGGTGGGGGGTACCGAGTATTCGAGAGTTGGGCCCGCTCGACTTTAGCATTCCCTTCTTGTTTTTATTATATTATCGCTAACCCAGATAAGATTAGAAGTATAAAATTAATAAATTTAAATCAGGTCTCTTTTTTGTATGTACGTATGAAAACACATACAATTATATATGCATCAATACATACAAGTGTACATAACATCAACAAATGCATGCATTTACGAGTGAATCTACATTAATTACCGCGTGCCAATGTGAGTGGTTCAGAAACTTCAGCCATGGCTATTGAATTAACCAAATAAACGCTTATTTATAAATCAATGTATTATACTGTTAATTGTATATGTTCACATATATGTATATTGACAAAATTATCTTGAAAATAGCGATGAGCAAATTTCAGCAATGATTTTGGCCTGATTACTTAAAGTACCCAGTCACTGTTTAAAAATGTTATCGGTCATTTGATAGTAGATTAGGACTGCCGCAGTGTTGCTGATGCTGTACCACCATTTATTTTTGAATGATAATATTGAAAAATGTATTTCTTATCATGGTAATGTAATAAAGATTTTCTCATATCTGCTTGCAAACAACCAAACATTTAAAGCCCTTCATTTATCGCAGACCGTCTCCAAGCCTTCTTTTTCAAGAAAGTGCAATTGGTGAGACTTCTATTAAGCAAACGGTAGTGGGTGTGAAGAATGACGAAGCGTTATTATCAGGGGTGCCATAGAATTATCCGGAGTTTTCGACTAAAGTTGTTTCTGAAATAATGAAGTAACGCACTAAGTTAAATGAAAAACAGAAATGCCATTTGCATTAGTATTAGCCAGCGAGAATTTGTGGAAAAGCGAATTAATTGTTGAAAATATTTGTGATTCCATTAAATAATTCCACTTATGTTACTTATTAAAAATCCCATTTATTTTACACTTTTTATAACATAATTTGGGGTGTGCTTCCATAAATTGGACACAAATTGCGTCCTGTTGTGGTGGTCTATGTTTTTCACTGCAAAAAACTAGTTTATGACCATCCACATGTTCGCTAACAAACAGACTTACCCAATCGGCCAATCGACACACAATTTTTTCCGAGTTTGTTTAATTAATACACAGTTTATTGGTACATATTTAAAACAAGAATATATTATTAGAATATATAATATATATTTTATTTTTATCTTTGTGAGTCAAGCTCTCAAATTAAGACTTAACTCAGCAAAATGTTCGAAAAATGTAATTTTCTATTTGAGCCAAGGGGGCCGCTCGGTTGTTTCGGATGCTAGTGTTTTAAGTATACATTGAGGAATTTGCTAATTTAATAATATTTACATTATATTTATTTAAATGTGCAAAATATTGTTATTGGAGATTGTTCAGAAAAACTGAAAGGCTTATATTCCAATCATTTTTATATTTATGAGGAAAAATGTCTTTCTCAGATTTTAAACCTCCCAAAAAATTTCTGTGGCACCGGGAATTGGTCTTGGGATGAAATTTGGGCGGAAGAGATTTCTGTGGCACCCCTGTATGTGTCATAGGAAATCAGCCAAAGCCGTCTATGTAATCAAAGGACCGATATAAAATCTTCTCCACTATAAACCTTGAGCTACAAAACGAACCGATTTAGAATCGATTTAATAAATTTTTAACATTTTTTTTGCAAAATATATTTTTTTGAAGAATTGTATAAAGTTAAATGCATACTTTATTTTGGGCATCATTACTTGAAAGTGGCGCTAAAAATTGTTTTGCTCGTTTTGTAATGAATCGATCTGATTTTTAAGAAAATAAAAAAATAATTTAGAAATATTGATGCAGTCAATATTGATATTTTTGCAGTTCTACTTTTTACTACTGTTTATAACAACGGGTAGCTTTTGAATTAGAATTTTCGTAGCAACTTGTCTATTTTATCAGTTTAGACAGCTGTCCTGTTACTACTACTTGATATGTGCCGAAAATTGAAAACCATTTTACAAACTGGTACATTAAATTTCGATAACATTTATTTTCTATGGGTGGGATTGAACTTTGTGGAAAGTACTATCGTTATGTGTGTATGTGTTGGAATTAGGGAAGAGTGTACGGTCCTCTATTAAGGACTCGATAGTTTTATTACGGAAATAAATCGATTTTTTAGCAATTCACTGAAACACCAATACATACTCGCTCTAGAAGGCTGTCGGCTTTCGTCTTCTTACATAGAAAAATAAAAGTATACACATAAATGTTGAGTTGGATTATACAGTACAGCGAGCCGTGTATATAAAAAAAGAGTTTTAATTTGTTTCAATTAGGCGTCTTATTTAAGAAAATTTTAAAAAACACTGTATAATGTCTGAGCTTCAGTCATCTTTGCTCCTAAAAAAGCAACTGGCAGGTAAGTTCTCGTCAGCAGCCATTTCTACTACACCCCTATGCATACATACATGTGTAAATATGTATATACATACATATCAATATATATAAATATACATATGTATATATATTGTATATATGTATATATATTTTTTTTCTATATATATATATATATATATATACATGCGTACATGTATACAATTTTTCTTCCAATACTTGTATGCATGTATGTATAAATAAATTCAGTACCACATGTGTTGTAACAAAAGACTTAACATTGTACGTACATACATACATATGTTGTAATGAAATAAGACCAATTTAACGAATTATAAACAATTGCTCTTAAGGTATATCCTTTAAATCCAACGGAAAAATAGAAAAGGCAATGATGTTGCGCATTGTTTTTGCTGTGGTTTTACATTGTGAGTCATAAGAGTGCATCAAAATCAAAGCGATGGGTAAATGACCTCGTGGAATTGTCAAGCTCAGAAAAGCATCGAAATGCGTACAAATACATATGTACATACATATATGCATAGATACATATGTACATATCTACAGTAGCGAGCAAATTTGAGTAAGCAATTGTCACTTTACACATTTAGTTTTGTAGTAGGTAAATTTTGATGCTTTTGAATCTTTGACAGAATCTGGTAGAAAAGATGCGTTGATCTAGTTGAGTTGATCGAGTTGAGTTGATCGAGTTGAGTTGATCGAGTTGAGTTGATCGAGTTGATTTGACAGCTACGAAAAGGGAAATCTCACTTAAGCTTTAAAAATAAAAGCAAATTAATGGCTGTAATCCAATATTATTTCATTGATCAAAAAAGAAAGTGTTTTTTGCGGTTCATTTTGAATTAAAACGGAAGAAACAAGGTAGAAAGCTAGCCAAGTTTAAATAATTTTATAAACTTTTCATCAGGAGATCTATGAAAGCAGTTAAATAGACTTGTTTCTAGTCGTACAATAATTAAAAAAATTTTTTTTTCAGTTTAAACAACAATATTTTTATTTATTTTCCAACCCAAAAAGAAAAAAATACGGGGTTTTCGCGATCTAAATTTTAAACAAGCTTTTCTATTTATATTATAAACATCTGATAAATATTTAATAAAAGTAATTTTAAAAAAATTTATGGAAGAAAATTTGAATAAACGAAGATAAATTTTTCGTTTCTATTATTTTTTCCATCGCAGTATGTATGTGTACGAAGTGCATTCTTACATATAGAAAAAATACCGATGCATAATTATTCTAAAAAAAAGTAAATACTTTAACTGTTCAACTTGTTTTTACTGGTACGGAATAGTTCAGTTTTTATACCCTGTACCCAAAGGGTGAAAGGGTATACCAGTTTTGTGCGAGTGTATGTAACATACAGAAGGAGGCGTGGAAGACCCCCAAAAGTATATATATTATTGATCAGGATGACAAGACGAGTCGATATAGCCATATCCGTCTGTCCGTCCGTATGAACACAAGAATCTCAGAAAGTATAAGTGCTAGAATAACCAAACTACAACGGTGGACAAAAGTATTTTGACATTAGAAAAATAAGATTGTTTGGAGATTTTTTATGATTTATTGAGTTCACAAATTTTAATGACTTTTTAATTTATAAAGAATATATTAAGCTTCTTAAATTCAAAAATTGATACTTTTTCATATTACAGCTTCGAAACTAAAGTCCATCTTGTATAACTGTTTGTGGACAAAAGTATTTTGACATTTCAATGTTGGTTAACTAAATGAGGGAAAAAGTTAATATTGGTAAAAAATAACAAAAATATTATTACAAATTAAACCCTCCTTTCTTATCAATGACCTTTTGTAAGCATACAGGAATTGATTGTACGAATTTTTTAAATTTTTCTAATAAAATATTGTGCCGAAGTCCTTGAACTTTAGCAGTCGTTTCATCACAAGTCTTTGATAAGTTTGAACTTCGTTTTCTTTTTATATAAGCCCACATAATCTCTATTATATTGAGATCGGTGCTTTTAGGTAGCCAATTTAATCTATTGCCTTCGACATTCCTCAAACATGCAGTTTTCATATGGGCCTTGTGGCATGGAGCGTTGTCCTGCAGCAGTATAAATGATTGTCCAATGAGCTGGTCATCGAAAATGAATGCGTGTTCATTTAGGACACGTAAATATTTGTCCTTGTTCATTGTTACATCATTTGGTATCAAATCGTCCAATTATTTTTTGTTGGAATTAAAGGAATTGGACGAGTTACATATATATGCAAAAAATCGGTCTCCCTTAGCCGTATTTGGATACTACTACTTATTGATATTTTATGGTGCTTCTTGAGCTCACTCGACACTGCTTTTGGTGTATTCATCACATTTTCCTTAAGTTTCCTCAATATTATGCGGCCTCCTATAGGCTTTGTTTTGCATGGTCTTCCCGATCTGAGCTTTTGTACGGCAAGCGAATCCTTGAAAATGAATATGAAAAGCAATGTCAAAATACTTTTGTCCAGCCAAAAAATCTCAATCTACTACGCAGATAATCATAGAAAAGAAATGTGTTACGTTATCGCGCGATCTTTTTTTCTCTTAAAGCTTTTAATATCTTCTCTCTGTTAAAAATTGAATGGATACCGTTACTATTCTAAGTTTGCAGAAATAAGCGGTTTTATATTTTGCAATGTGTTGTCAAAATACTTTTGTCCACTGTTGTAGATTCTTCTAAGACCGAGAAAGTACGAGTTTGAGTTTTTTTTTTCGATGAACCCCTCACTCCATCGCAATTCGTGTTTTCCATAACTCCAGTAATTTTTGCAATTTTGAACTCAAATTTGGTTATTACTTCCAGTTACTGATTATTATTATCATTTCTGAAGAAAGTTATAGCCATAAATAAAATCGCTGCCCATGCTCTGCCTGCAGCTCTGCCCGCAGCTGTTGTTGCTTTGGTTCAACTTTGTGCTGCATACATACACTCATATCAACACGCAGATACACGATACTGATGTAAATTTATTATATTGAAATTGTACATAAACCCTTATGTATGTTGAATATTTTATATTTATATAATTAAATGTTTTTTAATAATTTTTCTTTTTTGTTTAGAGTACAGGGTATTTTACTGTCGGGCTTGCTCGACTGTAGCGTTATATCTTGTTTCGTTAAACTTTGACTTGCTATATTTATACTCTGTACATGAAATGTACAAGAGTATATTAGGTTTGTGCGAGCTGAAGAATGTAACAGACAGAAGAAAATGTATATATATATATTCTTGATCAGCATGACAAGACGAGTCGATCTATGTCTGTCCGGCTGTCTGTCCGTATGAACGCCTGGATCTCAGAGACTATAAGAGCTAGAGGCACAAAATTTTGCACAAAGATGCGCTATGTGTGTACGCTGTTCAAGTTTGTTTTATTCTTTTGATTGATAAAGATTTAAAGATTTGATAAAAGATTTCAACTTTGTTGAAACGACACACAAAAGAGAAATTGTAAAAAAATGTATTTTTATTAACTTCTAAACATCTATTAAATAAACATTTTGAATAAGAACTAAAAGTACTTTTGAATTTCATGTAAACAGGTTACTTATAAACAAGACCACCCACAAAAAGGGAAAATTAAAAAAAGAAATTTTAAAAAGTAATTTTTAAAAACTATATTAATTAAATAATTAAATTAAATACAAATTATTCAATACATACATACAAAAGTGGAGACATGTTCATATACAGTTTCAACAGCATACATTTACATCAGAATCGTGTCTTTGCGTGTTTATAAGCGCGTATGTATCAAATAAAAAACTATTATTTCTAAAATTACATTTATTAAAATTTAATTAAATTAAAGATCTATCAAATATTTAACTCATACGTACTCGTACTGTTTATGTACAGTTTCAATAGCACGAATTTATACCGGAACTGCGTCTATATGTGTCCATTTGTGCTTATGATTCAATGCGTGTCTGTGTGTCCATTTGTGCTTATGAGTTTCAATGCGTGTCCATGTGCGTGTGTGCGCGGAGTTTAACCAATGTGTAACAAGAACTACAGCTACTGGCAGAGCATGGGCAAGGATTTAATATAATGCTATAACTTTAAAATTATTCTATCATGATGAAACTTAACATAAGCAGCCATAACTAATTACTGCATCCAATTGCCAAATTCCGGTAAAAATTTCAAATATTACAGTATTATTTCAAAAAACCTTATAGCAGAAAAGTGAAAAAAAGCTTTTCCTTTCATATACTTAGAAAAAACTAAGAAGAATTTTGTCATGCTGACTAGGAATATTCTTTGTATGGTGTAACATAAATTCTATGAAATTTGTCTGTTTTTGCATGGGTATTTAATTTTTTTTTACTACCTGAAAATTTTGTAATAATATGTTATTTGCGTGTTTTAGAATTGAATAAAAACCCTGTGGAAGGATTTTCCGCTGGACTAATTGATGAAAATGATATATTTCGCTGGGAAGTACTAATTATTGGACCACCCGATACACTTTAGTAAGTATAGCGCGTATCGGTTCATGTTAACACATATTTTCTAATTTACATGTAAATGAACCTCAAACTAACTAGCTACACATGGGAGTCTTAAACAATCTACCCAAAGCTTTTTATTTGTTGATATAAGGGGAAATTTGAATCTGATTGTTATTTCATAATTCATAATTTCGGCAATCTTATTGAATGTAACTTGGTAAATATATTTGGTCAACTTATTCAACATACCAAGATACAAAGACACATTATTGCATTAGATATGTGGTGCATTGCTAGTTATTTATTCAAAATCCTTTGGTGCTACGAATTTACCTGATATTTCCCTGCATCAAAATTTCATAAAATTCTCGTGTTTTGCGTGTAATTCACTTTTTGTAAATAGTGCTGATGAGTCAGCACTTAATATAAATGTTGATTGTTGTACATTTTACATTTACCATAACAAAACTAACGAATTACCATTAAGAGCTGACCCAGTAGTTGGGAAACATAAACAAGTAAAAAAAAGTAAAAAGTCGGATGTCCCGACTTTGAAATACTCTGTACATATGTTTACAATAATTATAGAAAATTAAAGAAAAAAATTTTGATCGAGCTTACCAATTGCGTCTATATGAGTGTATGAATGCGTATGCGCATCTATTCGTGTCTGTGTAAACATGTTTGCACTCAACCAAAGCACCAGCATCAACAACAGCTGCGGGCATCGCTTGACCAGCAAATATATTTATGGCTATAACTTCTTGTTAAATCAGTCTATCATAATGAAACTTGGCATACGGAAACATAATAACTCACTGGGGGGTATTTGAATTTGAAAATCGGAAAAACCCCCATAGGGGGAAGTGGGGGAAAACCAAAAAAAAATAAAACAAACTTGCGCAAACACATAACGCATCTTTGTGAAAAGTTTGGTGTCTCTACCTCTTATAGTCTCTGAGATCCAGGTGTTCATACGGACAGACAGACAGGGCTAGATCGACTCGTCACGTCATGCTGATCAAGAATATATACAAAGTGTGTTCCAAAGTAAACAGGACTTTAAAAAAACAAGTAAAAAAGCTATAGTCGGGTGTCCCGATTTTGAAATACTCTGTACATTTTATTTATTTATTTATTTCATCGACAAACAATGCAGTCGATGTAAAAGAAAAAGAAAACAAAAAATCAATACAAAAGATAACTTAAACTAAAATAAAGCTATAGGATTAAAAAGCCTATAAAAATGACACAAATATCTAATAACGAATCCGACACGGTGGGGGAATTTTATTTGCCAAACGGCCAGCTATGCCCCGATTCACAGCAGAGGGTAGTCAGATAAGTTATTAGACCTAACAAAAAAAAGGAATGGAGATGAAAAAATAGCAATAGAAGATAAAAGAAAAAAAAAAAAACTTAAATAATAAGAGATAAAATATAATTAAAAGCTAAAGGTGAAGAATCACTGACCCGTTGGGGGAAAATTTATTAGCCAGTCCTGCAAGCTATGCCCCTACTCACAGCAGTGGTGATCAGTGATTCTGCCGGAGATAGCTGAAAATATAAGCTTTTAGTGAGGGGAGAGAGAGCTCACTTGAGATTAAAAACTAAAAAGAATTATAATTAGAACATAATACTCGAAAAGGGTTGTGCATGGCGTAATCACTAGTGCATCTGTTAAGTAGAAGAGGCAGAAAGTTCCTTGTTGGCCTGGAAGGAACAGAAAAATTAATACGACCTAAAAGCATAGAGGAATCAACATCTCCAACAATCAATTTGTGGAGGAACAGAACACCAAGAACTATCCTACGGTGAGCCAGAGAGGGCAGGTTAATAAGGAGAAGCCTACTGGAGTAGGAAGGTAATCGCAGATTAAGATCCCAGTTAAGACCACGAAGTGCAAAAAGAAGAAATTGTTTTTGGACTGACTCAATGTGATCCTGATGCAGTTTATACTGAGGACACCAAACACATGAGCAGTATTCTAGCACTGGTCGTACTAGAGAACTGTAAAGTAGCTTGGTAGTATAGGGATCGTTAAATTCTCTGGACCATCGTTTAATAAAACCAAGAACACCATTAGCTTTGTTAACGATAGTGGAGATGTGAAGATTGAAATTCAATTTGGAATCAAAAAGAACTCCAAGATCTTCAACTGTAGATATACGTTGCAATGGTATATTGTCAATCGCATAAGTACCTAGATGTGGTCTGGACCGGTGAAAAGTCATAAACTTGCATTTAGAACAGTTAAGGTGCAGGTAGTTGACCACGCACCACCGTTGAAAACAGTTTAGATCATACTGCAGACGAGACTGATAAAGAGGATCTTTATACGAAAAAATAAGCTTTACATCATCGGCATACATTAGTATACGGGAATGCAGCAGGATAGACGGAAGATCATTAATAAATAGAGTGAATAATAGGGGGCCGAGATGACTACCTTGAGGTACTGACCTGAGTAGTAGCTTCTGTGTCCTATTTTTTAAGTAAGAGGAAATCCAATTCAAAGAGTTTGACGGAAATCCCCTACGAGATAGCTTTAAGAGGAGAAGGTCGTGATTCACAGAATCAAATGCTTTGCTGAAGTCAGTATATATAACATCAGCTTGCATCTTTGCTAGGAATGCATCATTTATGACAGATGTAAATTCTAGCAGATTAGTCGTTGTTGACCGATTTTTAAAAAATCCATGCTGAGCAGGGGAGATTACAGACTTACAATGATGCTGTAAAGAGTAAGTAATTGTTTTTTTCAAATAATTTAGGAATAGCAGACAGTTTGGCAATGCCCGTATAGTTAGAAATGTCTGACTTACAACCCTTTTTGTGGAGTGGTATAATAAACGATTCTTTCCAAAAAGCAGGAAAGATTTCGTTCTCAAGGGACAGATTAAAAAGCTTAAGCTACGGCTTGCAGAGGGAGGTACTACACTCTTTGAGCACACAACTAGGAATGTTGTCAGGCCCAGGAGAGAATGAAGCTTTTACATATTGTATATTAGACAAAATACAAGAATCTGTAATTATTGGAGCAAAATTTGAAATTTGAAGGCATAATGCAGAATGGGTTTACAATAACTATAGAAAACAAAAAAAAAAATTAAAAATTTAATCGATTTTCAGTATTTGAACTCACGTAAATGGTGTATAATTGCACATTTACAGAGCAATTGCGTCTGTGTGAGTGTATTTATGCCTATGCGCATCTATTCGTGTCTGTGCAAACATGTTAGCAGTCAACCAAACAGCAACATCAACAACAGCCGCGGGCAGCGCTTGAGTAGCGCTGCAGCAGCAAATATATTTATGGCTATAACTTCTTGTTAAGTCGGTCTATCATAGTGAAACATGGCATACGGACACATAATAACTAACGGGGTATTTGCAATTTGAGTTCGAAATTCCAAGAATTACGGGAGTTAGAAAAAATCGTAATTTGCATGGGAGAGGGGGGATGGAGGGAATTTCCAAAATATACATTTTCTGCGTATTCACGTAAGGCATCTGGGACTAAAATTTGGTGTTCCTAGGTCTTATAGTCTCCGAGATATAGGCGATTATACGAATGGAAAATCGGGAAAACCCCCATAGGTGGGACGTGGGGGGGGGGGGGGGGGAATCAAAAAATAAAACAAACTCGTATAGAATACACACATAACGCATTTTTGTGCAAAATTTGGTGTCTCTATCTCTTATAGTCTCTGAGATCCAGGTGTTCATACGGACGGACAGACAGAGCTAGATCGACTCGTCTCGTCATGCTGATCAAGAATATATATACTTTGTGGGGTCTGCCACGCCTCCTTCTGCCTGTTACATTTTTCAGCTGTAGCTACCTAATTTTAGTTCGAAATTCCAAGAACTACGGTAGCTATGGAAAAAAACACGTGTTGCGGGGGAGTGGGGGGGGGGTGTATCAGAATAAAAAAATAAACGACCTGCCTAGGGCTTAGGGGAACCTCGATACCAAGTTTGGTAATTCTAGCTCTTGTACCTTCTGAGATCCTTGCGCTCATACAGACGGACGGACGGACAGACGGACATGGCTAAATCGACTCGGCTTGTCACCCTGATCAAGAATATATATACTTTGTGGGGTCTGCCACGCCTCCTTCTGTGTGTTACATACATGCGCACAAAACTAGTATAGCCTTTCACCCTTTGGGTACAGGCTATAAAAACAGAACAAATGGTTTTTTCGGCAAAATCAATTTATTTTATTCAAAATAGTCTCCTTCTGCTTTAATACAGCTTTTTATACGATCCAAAACCATGTCGAACGAGTGTTTTTTTCTCGTTGGCCGGTATGGCCGGTGAACGCCTTTTGAATGGCCTCTACGTCTGCATAACGCTTTCCTTTCATGGGAAAATGCAAAGGTAGAAGTCGCACGGTGCCATATCAGGTGAATACTTGAGTGGTTAATGGTTAAAATGTGATTTTTGGTAAAATAATCGGTCACAAGCGTCGATCGATGAGACGGCGCATTATGGTGCAACAAACGCCAACTTCCATCTTCGCGATATTCGGGCCGAACACGTCGAATACGGCGCACCAAACGCTTTAAAACTCCAAGGTAAAATATTGCATTAACGTTTTGGCCGGGTGGAACAAATTCTTCGTGGACAATACCCTTGGAATCATAACAAGATAGAACGCTACAGTCGAGCAAGCCCGACAGTAAAATAGCCTGTACTCTCCACAAAAAAGAAAAATTAAAAAAAAAAAAATTAAAAAAAAAAATTAATAAAAAAAAAAAAATTAAAAAAAAAAAAGAATAAATGAATGATTTAATTAAATTAAATTAGAATACATGTTTATGTTCAGTTTTAACAGCATATATTTACATCACGTACCTATGCGTGTTCATATGCGTGTATGTATGCAGCACAAAGTTGAACCAAAGCAGCAACAACAACAACAGCTGCGGGCAGCGCTGCCGACAGAGCTGCAGGCAGCGCATTAGCAGCGATTTTACTTATGGCTATAACTTTCTTCAGAATTTACCTATCATGATGAAATTTGGCACACGGACACATTAGTACCAATTGGGTGTACCTACCAAAATTTATTATTATCAAAATTCCGAGAATTACGGAAGTTATAAGAAAAAACATGAATTGCGGGGGAGTGGGGGGGTGCATCGAAAAAAAATTCAAACTCGTACTTTCTCGGTCTGAGGAGAATATGGAAACCAAGTTTGGTTATTCTAGCTCTTATACTTTCTGAGATCCTTGCGTTCATACGGACAGACGGACGGACGGACACGGCTATATCCACTCGGCTTCTCATCCTGATCAAGAATATATATACTTTGTGGGGTCTGCCACGCCTCCTTCTGTGTGTTACATACATGCGCACAAAACTAGTATAGCCTTTCACCCTTTGGGTACAGGCTATAAAAACAAATCAGCATTGTCTTCACTTTAGACTTTTCCATGTGCGATTTTTTGGGTTTCGGCTCATCCGGTGCCTTCCATTCAGCACTCTGGCGTTTCGTTTTGGGATCATATTAGAAACACCACGTTTCGTCACCAGTCACAATATTGTAAAGGAGGTTTTTGTCCTTTTTGACCTCTTTAATGATGTCCTTCGAATGTTGGATTCTGAGCAATTTTTGGTCGTCAGTCAATTTGTGTGGAACAAAGCGTGCACACACCTTTCATAAGCCCAAATGTTCGGTAAAAATGCGATAAATCGATGTTTTGCAGATGTTCAATTCCATTTCCATCAATTTCAATGATGATTTCGGCTGACTTTTGATGAATTCGTGCACAGTTTCGATGGAATTTTCGGTGATCACGAATTTTGATTGGCTCACATGTTGATCGTCATTTATGTCCTTACGACCACTTTGAAAACGTTGAAACCACTCGTGCACTCTGCTACGGGATAGGCAATAATCGCGATAAACTTGTTCCATCAATAGAAACGTTTCGGTAAAAGTTTTACCAATTTTAAAACAAAATTTAATGTTATTCGAAGCTCATTTTCGCACCGATAACACAAACATACTGACACTTAAAACGCAATAACTTCACTTCCAATCTATGAAATGTCATGAACATGTCATGTCACCGGACAATCGATAAAGATAGCAGATTCTAACGCACTAGTCGACATATAGATAGCGCCACCAGGGGGCGCTATATTCAAAAAGTCCTGTTTACTTTGGAACGGACCTTGTATAAAACAGTTTGTCCTGACTGACTGGTGATCAACGTAAAGCCCAAATGGTAAAAGCTAGGAAGCTGAAATTTTGACACAAGTATCCTTTCATTGTGTAGGTGCCCACTAAGAAGGGATTTTGGAAAATTCGTGCTCCAAAGGGGGGAAAACAGGCTCCAACGTTTGTATGAAAAATCTACAATTTTCATCTGATTAACTTCAAACTTAGTTTGTATTCTCTCAGAAAAATTACAAGAAAAACTGTATACTTGGTTTTTTGATATTTTTTTGGGGCCTAAAATATGGGAGTTTTCCTGTTTAAAAATGTTGGGGCACAAAAGCAAACCGCGTCAACAGCCCACAGCCCAAACGGTAAAAGTTGAAATTTGGGCTCAAGTATCCTATCATAGATCGAGCTCCATAGGGGGGAAAGTAGCTCCAAAGTTTGTTTGAAAAATCCGCATTTTTCAACCGATCGACTTAAAATCAATTTAAGAATACAAACAAAACTGCATACTTAGATTTTCGAAATTTGTGTTGGAGCTTGAATTATTGGGGTTTTGATATTTATTCACTATTTCAAATGAAAAGTTTTTGTTATAAATTTAGTCCGATCGATTTAAAATTTGGGTAATGTAATCTTCGTAACCAAATCTACAACTTTGCATTCAAGGATTTTCAAAATATGCATTTTACAAAAGCATTCAGAACAAACAATACAAAATATCGAACAGTTGGGGACAACTAAGTATACATACACACACATACAAACAGCTGTTCGTGTAGTTGCGTGCAAACGATTGAAATAGCTAAAGCAAAATGTGAGACACTAATGTGTGAATGTCCATACATATGTGCACATCTATGTATGTACATATGTATCTACATATGTATGTATGTACATTCGTCTTGCACTGACAGAGCAAGAAATGTTAATTAATTGAAAATTATGTAACATTTTTAAAAGTAATTTTTTCTTTGTTTAGTGCATTTGGCATTAGGGTTTTCATTAATAACTTAATGCAGCAACAACAAATATCAAATAGTTGGGGACATCACATACACACACTCACACACACAACAAGCAACAGTTCGTGTCTATGTGTGCGGTTCTCTACGTACGGTTGAAAAAGTAAAGAGAAACATACATATGTATGTATGTATGCCTGTGTATGAATATAGCATGTACATATGTACATTCGTATTAATGTATACATTGGGAAATCGTGGGAAATCGAACACAGTTGTTTGATTGTAAAAAAAATAATGCTCTAAAAACAAACAACAACAACAACTGCAAGTAATTGGCTCGCTCTTCTTCTTTCGTTTTGACCATTTTACAATTAACAGGTAAAGGCAAAACGCCAAAAGTTTACAGTTACCGTCGCTAGGGAACGACTGCGTATGCGATAGTAAAGCAGAAACCGAATAACGAAGCTACGCATATTCTGCTTCGCATTGCGGGCAGATGTATGTACTTGTATGTATATGATTTGTTCTTATTGATCTCAATAAATAATTAGATTTTGTTATTTAAATATTCTGCTTATTGCATTCAAACTTCGATATTTTGATGGTATCGATGGCTTCAACTATCGAAAGTTTTACTCTAGCAAATTGAGATGAGAATTGTCAGTGCTTTTTGATCGTGGCTCATCGCTGCAAGGCATTGACACGAGTGCCGTGTTTCATATTCCGAGTTTGTGCGTGACCGTATTGACTCAATATGGCACGAAAAGACTCAAATGTGAATTTAAAATTAGGATATACCCTTATAATTATTCCCCTTTTTGCACATAGTCTATCTTAAAACGTTGCGTTATCTCTATATATAAAACAGTTTGTCCTGACTAATTGGTGATCAACGCACGGCCCAAACGGCAAAAGATGAAATTTAGACTAAAGTATCCTTTCATAGTGGAGGAGCACACTAAGAAAGGCATTTGGAAAATTCTAGCTCCAAAGGGGGGAAAACAGGCTTTAAAAAATATTAGTTATAGTGGTCATGTTCGTTTAACGAAATAGTTTGGCAAGAACAAAATTGTAACGGACTACTGAAAAATTTCTTGTCAAGAACAGAAAATGTTCATTTAAATACCTTAAATGCCTTCCTACTGGTAACTTAAAACATATGGGTAGGTTATGCACACACAAAATAAATACAATTGGAAACATTATATTGAGCCGGGTTAAGACGGGCAATACCTGCTAGTACTTTATAAATATAAACTGCTAAAACTATTTACACCAAAATAATACATGTTTTGCTAAATTTTATATTCGCAGCGAAGGAGGTTTCTTCAAGGCACATCTGTATTTTCCAAAAGAGTATCCATTGCGCCCACCACGAATGAAGTTTGTTACAGAAATTTGGCATCCAAATATTGAAAAGAATGGTGATGTTTGCATTTCAATATTGCACGAACCTGGAGATGATAAATGGGGCTATGAGAAGGCATCGGAACGCTGGTTGCCAGTACACACAGTCGAAACAATATTGATATCCGTGATATCAATGTTGGCAGATCCGAACGATGAGTCTCCAGCAAATGTCGATGCTGCCAAAGAGTGGCGCGAATCGTACCCTGATTTCAAACGTAAAGTTGCACGTTGTGTACGAAAAAGTCAAGAGGAGTGCTCGTAGGAGTTCGAATTTCTCTATATTTGTATATTTATATTAAAAATTTGATACATTAAAAAGAATAATTGCATTAATATTCATATTTAAATTAAAATATTGGGATGATGATTTTTTGATTAGAGTCATTAAAACTATATACATACAAATCGCCCTTTTTAAATGAATAAAATAATAGTCACTTTAAGTAACTCCTAGTATAACAAAATACCATACTCATCCTGTTATTTATCAAACTCTACATAGATATAAAAAGCAGAGAAAAGGTGTTATACAAGGGTTCTTTAATAAATACCCGTCTAACGACAGGGGTCTTTGCTCGGAGATGTTAACTTTGCCATCGTTTTCAGATATCGATTAAAAGCTACCATACTAAATTAGACTGATTCATCAATTACATTATTTTCGGGGTTTTTAGTTAGGGTGCTAATAGTGCCCGCTGGGACGAAGCTGAAGACGAGTTGCTTGCGTTGCGAGCAAGCTGACAGGTGCGAATTTGATGCGTATATATTTTCGTTAGTAGCAATGGATTCGTCTTTAACTGATGAGCATTTACTAGAAGGAAATTTATTTTCAAAATTAAACCAAGAAAGGAATGCTAAAATTTAGCGAGCTCAACCCTTAAACACCCTAAACCACCCGACAAGAGAGAACGCTACAGTGGAGCAAGCCCGACAGTAAAATACCCTCTCCACAAAAAATGATAATAAAAATGATGATAAAAATAAAATTAAAAAAAAAACTTAGTTAATTAAATTAATTAATTAAATATAAAATATTCAACACTCTTAAGTGCTTATGTAAAATTTCAATAGAATAAATTTACATCGAAATTGTGTCTCTGCGTGTATGTATGCAGTACAAATGCAGCAACAACAACAGCTGCGGGCAGAGATTACATTTAAGGCTATAACTTTCTTCCTAATTCACCTATCATTATTAAACTTGGCATATAGACACAATTTCACTAATGGGATGTAGTTACCAAATTTTAGTTTAAAATTTTAAAAATTGCGGGAGTTATGGAAAAATTGCGGGAAGGAAGAAACAAGAGAGGAGGCTACAGTGGAGCAAGCCCGACAGTAAAATAGCATGTACTCTCCACAAAAAAGGAAAATTTAAAAAAAAATGTATTTAAAAACAAGACAATGCTACAGTCGAGCTGCAGGCAGCGCATGGGCAGCGATTTTATTTATGACTATAACTTTATTCAGAATTGACCAATCATGATGAAACTTAACACACGGACACATAATCACTAACTGGATGTATATGCCAAATTTCAATTTTGACTCGGCTTGTCATCCTGATCAATAATATATATACTTTGTGGGGTCTGCCACGTCTCCTTCTGTATGTTACATACATTCGCACAAAACTAGTATAGCCTTTCACCTTTGGGTACAGGCTATAATTATAAAAAAAAAAACAAGAGAACGCTATAGCCGAGCAAGCCCGACAGTGAAATACCCAGGTAAACTCCCGACACTGAGGTATATGCGCCCATAGCAGAAGCAAAAAGAGGAAGAAGAAGAGCGAACTTGATGCTGCAGTTTGGGTGGGTTGTACTGAAGAGAATTTGTTACGCTAATCACTTTTCTTAGAATTGACCGAATTGGATAAAACAACAGTAGATAATTATATATACATTATGTGTGCAAAGTTTGGTTTAGGTAGCATTTGAAATGTGGACGCTATTGACGAAATTCTGTAGCGGGTGAAGGGGAGGAAAATTAAAAAAAAAAAATAAACTCGTCCTTTCTCGGACCTAGGAGAATCTGGATGCCAACTTTGGTTATTTTAGCTTTTATAGTTTCTGAGATCCTTGCGTTCATCCAGACGGACAGACGGACGGACATGTCTAGATCGATTTCTCTCGTCATGCTGATTCAGAATATATATACTTTATGGGGTCGGAGATGCTTCTTTCTGCGGGGCTTTAGGCCGAAATATTTTGCTTACCCGCGGTATATTACTAGCTAAATTATAAAACGAATCATTGATGTTTTGATTTGTATTGCTAGGTGTATTCATTATATACATGTTTGAATTAAAAATATGTCCTTTGCACTTATAGTTCTCGAGAAAACGTCGATTTTCAAACTACATATTTTTAAGGTGTTTTTCAACTTTGTTGGAAAATAAAAAAAACTAAACTTTTGCTTTACTTAAAAACTTTCACCCGCCCGGATCCGCCAGTGTGTACCAGAGCAATAAAAGTGCCGAGACTTCGAAAAAAATCAATGAAAAACACGCTGCTGCGGGTATAAGAAGAAGAATGCATCGCACATAGATTCGCTGTTTTGGCTTTCATTGGCTATTAAAAATATTGTATTTTGTATTATGGCTACAAAAATAAACTAAACTAAACTATTTCGCCTAAATCAAATATTGTGCAGCCCAAATGACGCGTAAAATTAATTGACCATTAATTTTTAATTGCTGATTTGCAACATATTCGACCCTTTCTGGAATTACGTGTTCTTTGATTCATTAATTTATAAACAAATAGTGAATTTTATAGAGAAAAGTTGTTTTAGTTGGTATATATATACTATAGATATGGTATATGGTATACAAGTATTAGTGTGCAGCAATTGGGCTGTAGAAGCACTAAATGCCAACTGTAATAAAATTATTCCATATATTAGAACACAATTGAAAAGGGATATTTTGGAATATTGTTGAATCGCGACCTTTAAATGTTAGCTACTTATTGTCGGTCGATATTATTTAAATACGCAAAAAAATCTTCTGATTTACTCAAATCTACTGTAAGTGATTGAGATTTATCACTTAAAGTAGAATTAAAAAGTAGATACAAGTAGATACGTGTATAAGGCTAATATTGCTTGTAATTAAAGGTGGGAAAACTATTATTGTGAAATATGCATTTATGCTTACTAAGATTAATTGTCAAATCAAGATTAAAAGTTAAAAGCACTAAAATTTTTATATGATATTTAAATATGGAGAATATGCATCGAAGACTTCAGACCTGGCAAATAAAAAATACTCTTGTCGTGAAAAGAAGTTTACTTCCAGGGTTGATAAAATTTTGACTTCTGGTCAAATTTTCATAAAATAGCGCCTACTAATTGGATTTATGTTAGAGGAAATACGCGACTCGAGGAACAAAAATTAAAAAAATATAGGTGTATAAATAGATGCAAGATTAAATAAGATATATGATTAAAATTTATGTAATATTAAATTGACAAATTAAAACAAGAGAGAACGCTACAGTCGAGTAAGCCCGACAGTGTAATACCCTGTACCCAGGTAAACTTCCGTCACTGAGTTATATGCGCCCATAGCAGCAGCAAAAAGAGGAAGAAGAAGAGCGAACTTGTTGCTGCAGTTTGGGTGGGTTGTACTGGCGAGAATTTGTTTCATAAATACAACAGTAGATAATTATATATAAATTACGTATGCAAAGTTTGGTTTAGGTAGCATTTGAAATGTGGACGCTATTGACGAAATTTTGTAGCGGGGGAAGGGGGGAAAATTCCAAAAAATAAAATAAACTCGTCCTTTCTCGGACCTAGGAGAATCTGGATGCCAACTTTGGTTATTCTAGCTTTTATAGTTTCTGAGATCCTTGCGTTCATCCAGACGGACAGACGGACGGACATGTCTAGATCGATTTCTTTCGTCATGCTGATTCAGAATATATATACTTTATAGGGTCGGAGATGCTTCCTTCTGCATGTTACATACTTTGCACAACCCTCTTTACCCTACGGGTACAGGGTATAAAAATTAAAATATTGTAGCGTAAATCGGCCTTTGGCCGAGCGGTGACCAGCGATTCGCTACGCAAAACGATAGCAGGCAGGTGTGTAAAGCAGCAAGGTCCAGCAGCGGGGCGGCTGGCGAAGTGACTGCAGCAACAAATCTGTATAGCGGAGGCGCGCGTGGCGCGCGTCGACGCTTGACAGAGAAGGGCCCACTTCGGAAGAATTAGCAGCGCCGAAGAAAAAAAGTGCGCCGTTCAACTCAGCTTTTTTTTACTTCACTTTATTAGCCTTCAATGACGATCAAAACAGGCAGATGGCCCAAATACTTAATGATTTTAAATTACACATGTGGAGAGGCTTGAATGATCCGCATCAGCGGAGAACACCACCGTGTCGGTCCAGAGCACATCAGGAAGAGAAGAACTCCTTAAGGGTAGTTGCGGTTGAAGCCATGAATTTGGCTGCGGCAGCATGGATCTTGTAAAAAACAGCTGTTGATAGGTGGCGCATGTGGGCGTATCGATAAGCGCAAATCGATACTTGAGCGCCAAGCTCGTAATTTGAACTATGCACTACCAATTTGCATTACATTACCCCCGCTGAGACTCGAGACTCCTGGCCGAGTACATCTGGACCATCTCCTCTATAGGGTGCGAGACGGTTAACGTGAACAGTTTTTGTAGATCGCTTGCCAGGCGGGCGCACCGTGTACACCAGATCCGATATGCGACGAACGACTAGGCTAGGTCCAATCCAGTCCGACTGCAGCTTGGGGCAACGACCCACTTTGCGGGCGGGTGAATATAACCAGACTTTGTCGCCAAGCACGAACTCCCTGGGATTCGCTCGCATGTCGTATCGCATCTTGTTGTTGGCGGCAGCTGATTGCAGCTGCTGACGGGCCACAGTGTGAACCGTTTTGAGTTGGGCGCGCAAGGTCTCCACGAGGGTAGGGAGTTTCGTCATTACATGGAACGCCATAAGTCAGCTCACAAGGTAGCCGCAGTTCACGGCCAAG